CTGCTACTCCTACTCCTACTGCTCCTGCTCCTGCTCTTATTCCTACTCCTACTCCTACTCCTACTCCACTCCTGCTCCTGCTCCACCACGACGACGGCTACGACGACTACTACGTACTTACTCGTAGTTTTTCTACTGCCACAGCAGCCGGCCGTTTGGAGTACCAGCTCGTGAGCAAAAGTATGAGTCTAATGCAGGTCACGTTGGAGGAGTTCATTGACGGGATATGTCGCTGCAAGGCTCGGTTGCATCCACCGGAAATGCATGATGCTATGTTGTCGCTGTCTACAAACCGCCCGCTTGCTCACCAGCCTGGCCACTGGCACGCACCAGCGAGCACACCGGCGAACAAAGCTGGCATGTGCACGCACACGCACACACGCGCATGTGCGCGCAAGCACACGCAAACGGACGAACAGACAAACCGGCAAACACACAAGAAAGCGAACACACCAATACACAAGGACAAACGCCCACAAATGCAAACATGCACAGACACAACAACATGCAGTTACAGACGCACAAAAACACAAGCTCACATCACCCGACCACACGACCACACGACCACACGACCACACGACCACACGCCCACACGACCACACGAACACACGACCACACGACCACACGACCACACGAACACACGAACACACGAACGCACACTAACGCACACTAACGCACACTAACGCGCGAACTCACGAACGCAAGCACAAGCTCAAGCGCAAACGCAAGCACAAGCACAACCAACGTACTCGCAAAGAAACACAAAAACCTAAGCACACAGAAACACACGCGCACACACACACAGACACACACACAGACACACACAGACACACACACACACACACACACACACACACACACACACATACACATACATACACACACAGACACACACAGACACACACAGACACACACAGACACACACACACACACACAGACACACACAGACACACACACACACACACACACACACACACACACACACACACACACACACACAACACACACACCACACACACACACACACACACACCGACACACACGATACACACACATAGACACACACAGCGACACACACAGATACACACACTAGACACACACAGAGACACACACAGAGACACACACAGAGACACACACAGAGACCCACACAGAGACACACACAGAGACACACACAGAGACACACACAGAGACACACACAGAGACACACACACAGACACACACAGACACACACACACACAGAGACACACACACAGAGACACACACACAGAGACACACACACAGAGACACACAGACACACACAGAGACACACAGACACACAGAGAGACACACACAGAGAGACACCAGAGACACACAGAGAGACACAGAGACACACAGAGACACACAGAGAGAGACACACACAGAGACACACACAAGACACACACACAGAGACACACAGAGACACACACAAGAGACACACAGAGACACACAGAGACACACAGAGACACACGAGACACACACAGAGACACCCAGAGACACACAGAGACACACAGAGACACACACACAGAGAGACACACAGAGAGACACACAGAGACACACAGAGACACACAAGACACACAGAGACACACAGAGACACACAGAGACACACAGAGACACACAGAGACACACACACAGACACACACAGAGACACACAGACACACACACACACAGACACACACACACACACAGACACACACAGACACACACAGACACACACAGACACACACAGACACACACAGACACACACAGACACACACAGCACAGACAGACACACACGCACAGAGGCACACACACACAGAGACACACACAGAGAGACACACAGAGACACACAGAGACACAGAGACACACACAGACACACAGAGACACACAGAGACACACAGAGACACACAGAGACACACAGAGACACACAGAGACACACAGAGACACACAGAGACACACAGAGACACACAGAGACACAGAGACAGAGACACACAGAGACACACAGAGACACACAGAGACACACAGAGACACACAGAGACGACAGAGACACAGAGACACACAGAGACACACAGAGACACACAGAGACACACAGAGACACACAGAGACACAGAGAGACACACAGAGACACACAGAGACACACAGAGACACACAGAGACACACAGAGACACACAGAGACACACAGAGACACACAGAGACACACAGAGACACACAGAGACACACAGAGACACACAGAGACACACAGAGACACACAGAGACACACAGAGACACACAGAGACACACAGAGACACACAGAGACACACAGAGACACACAGAGACACACAGAGACACACAGAGACACACAGAGACACACAGAGACACACAGAGGCACACAGAGACACACACACACAGACACACACAGACACACATAGACACACACAGACACACACACACAGACACACAGACACACAACACACACACACAACCACACACACACACACAACACACACACACACAACCACACACACACACACACATACACACACACAGAGACAGACACACAGAATACACACACGCAAAGCAGACAACCACGCAAGCACAGATAGAGTATATGTATATATATATATATATATATATATGCATATGTAGGTGTGCATATTATAATATATACATATTTACATATACCGGACGGACGGACAGACAGACACGGACAGAGACAGACACAGACACACAGACACGCAGACACACAGACACACAGACACACAGACACACAGCGACACAAAGACACAGAGACACAGACGCACAGCGACACAAAGACACAGAGACATATAAACACAGAGACACAGAGATGCACAGAGACACAGACAGAGACACAGACACAGACCCAGACACGTACGCGCACGTGGACCAGCGCGATGAATGTGAACGCATTTCTGTGTTGGCCAGGGTCCTGCCCGAGCAATCGATCAGGCGGGTATTTACCGAATGCTGTGACAACGGCTTGCGTGCGGGACACATGTTGACACTCGCAGGTCGCCATGCATTCCGATATCAAGCAGCTAGACAAGAAGGTTAGCAAGCTTGTGCGTGTTATGCGCGATTGCAAGCTACCTGGACCGATTCAGATTCTGCAGTTGCGTCATGTACTCCTGGGATGCTGATGCACTTCCCTGCTTCGGTGCTGAGGTTGATTGACAACAAAAAGGCCAGTAAATCGGCGGGACTCAGGAGCCAACAAACTGTAAATCGTGCGCAAGACCTCATGATATTCCGGATGAAGTCTTTGGAGGGGGATGGCAGCTTTTCGCGCCACCCAAGTCCGTGGTAAGTTCTTGGTTTCACAGAAGCATTCCAAAGCGGTGGCCGCACTTGTCCTTTGCGGCGGACAAAGAGTCGGTACAGGATGGACACTACTTCTCATTTCTTCTTCCGGCGAAAATCGCAGTGCATGCGCGTTGCATGCGTGCAGTTCTGCCAGCCTCCGACGTGCAGGATTTTCCCAAGTCGGGTCGGCTGGTCGGTTTTGGCTTGCAAAGCAAGCCACTTCCCGTGTACATTGTGGGCATGTGTGCCTTGCTGGGACTCTGGTGTACATTTCAACAGCACCAGAAGATCAGCTTGTGGTCACATGGCAAAATCGCCCTACAAAGCTGCCGAGACCGGGTTGCATCAGCTTCCTGGGCCAGAATGGTGGCGGAGCATGTCAGGGTTGAAGACTGTGTGGAGGCTCGCAAGGGTTAAAGACTGCCTTTGCTTGCAGCGAAGGAAAAAGCCTGCCTCAGCTCAGGAGCCTGAGAGAAGAGGTTTTTGTTTTAACCAATATCAGAATCAAGGCCTCGACAAACCAGGGACAGCAGAGTACACCTGGAAATGGTTTCGGAAGCATTCTGTCCTTATGAAGCCCACCCGCGAATCATGCCGGCATCGCGGCGGTGCAGAGATGAGGCAAGTTCATGTAGGTGTGATGTCATGTCCGACATCACAAGCCGGTCAGCCAAGGTTGAATGTGAAAAGACTCCCAATTCGGCGGCTGAGCGATTTGCAAAGCCACACAAGTGCCACGATCTCTTTTGGTTCTAGTGCGCTTCGCAGGAGAGAAGCATCTGGAATCTAGACTTCATATTCTCAGACTTGGCACGCTGCGTAGATACTTGGACCAATTCCACGGAGGGGCTAACAGCCTTAGTCACGACTGACATGCATATGTTCTAACAAGGGTATTTTCGTGTTCCGTGGCATTCTCGCAGCAGATGGCACAAGTCTTGAGCTTTGCATGCAGGGCCTCTTTCATTTGTCGGCCTTGCGTGCTAATTGTACTTTGTTTTCATTCGTTTGATGCTCAGTCTACAGGTTCAGCCGCCCTCCATACAGCTCTTGCACTTCAGGTGACTCAGGTAGGCACACGTCTTTCAAGCGGCAATTGGTTGGCTGGCGAATCCGTAGCATCCTGAGTCATCTCTCAGACGATCTGCCTCATGCTTTCATACGTCCAGATGCAGCACACTCATTTTGTACACTGCTTCTCTGGTGCAGCTCTGGAGAACCTTCGCGTGCACTGCTTCGGTGCACGGATTTGTGTGGCGATGCTTGAAAAAGACTCGGTGCGGCCCGCTTTCCGCTTTGACATAAGGCAGTGTGTCGAGGGAGGTGTAAGTGTAGTGGCAGTAGTGGTGGTAGTAGTTGTAGTAGTAGTAGTAGTCGTCGTCGTAGTAGTAGTAGTAGTAGTAGTAGTAGTAGTCGTAGTAGTAGTCGTAGTAGTAGTCGTAGTAGGAGTATTGTGTCGGGGGATGTGTAGCTGTTCAGTGACACCTGGCCACAGGCCAAGAGCTCCTTGGCGGCTCGGGCTCGGGCCAACCGAGCTTCCGCAGAGCCGACGTCCGGCCGCCGGCTGCCGGCTTCTGTTTCTCCTTCCGCCACGGCACAGGCATGCCAATTGCCGACAAAAGGCTGGGAAAAAAAGTGGCTGCACCCAGCAGACTGCCGCGTTTGCAGAGCCCCGGTAGACGGCACGGTGCGGATATGGCGCTCAGGAGCTCCTGGTTTTCATCCAAAGCTGGCAGCTTTCTCCCGTGACGTCTGGGACCTGGGCCCCCGGACATTGTGAGCGCGGCCTCACGATCAGAAAACAAACTGAGGGCGCAGGCTGTGAAGTCCTTGCCGGCGAATCTGCAAAGACAGGTGCTGTCTGGGCATGCTCCTCAGGCCTAGATGTGAATGTGTTTGAACGTTCTGTGGGAAAGCCTCTCTCTCGCGGCTCAGATGGCTCAGGTTCAGCCCCAAGAAAGGCACCCGCAACGTCGAGGCGCTGCTTCATGGCTATATCAAAAGCATCAGTGTGTCCCAGGCTCAATCTGCCTGAGCATCTCTCAGTCCTCGTACCTTTTTCCTGGCTCAGGTCGACCGGAGGCCCCGAGGTGAAGGACGAGGGCGTGCCTTTCTGTCTTTTTGAGACTCGCAAACTGCGACTGCGACAGTGGGAGGAGCCACGAGCCCCCAAGGAAGCCGCAAAGGCAAAGGCCGGGTGCTAGGCAGTGCTAGAGGTTCTCAAACGAAAAGATGCTTCTGCTGCGGTTTGAGATATGTTGCTTTTTGTTGCCTGCGTGTAAGCTTGCAGCAGTCCTGCATCGTGTGCATCTTCGATCTACCAGTGCTCCCTGACATCTGAGGCAGCGAAAAAGGAAGCGCCGAAACAAATACAGCAGTTTGGCAAAAGCATATGCGGGTCTATCCGGAGAATAGCAACGTACTTGTCACGGGCGGTCTGTTATGTGATTCCTTGCAGCCATGCCTGCTGCAAAGGCTAACACGAGTAGTAGTAGCAGTAGTAGTGGCAGTAACCGTAGTAGTAGTAGTAGTAGTAGCAGTAGCAGTAGCAGTAGCAGTAGCCAGTAGCCAGTAGCCAGTAGCCAGTAGCCAGTAGCAGTAGCAGTAGTAGTAGCAGTAGTAGTAGTAGTAGTAGTAGTAGTAGTAGTAGTAGTAGTAGCAGTAGCAGTAGCCAGTAGCCAGTAGCCAGTAGCCAGTAGCCAGTAGCAGTAGCAGTAGTAGTAGCAGTAGTAGTAGTAGTAGCAGTAGTAGTAGTAGTAGTAGCAGTAGTAGTAGTTGCAGTTGTAGTAGCAGTAGCAGTAGCAGTAGCAGTTGTAGTAGCAGCAGTAGCAGTAGCAGTAGCAGTAGTAGCAGTAGCAGTAGCCGTAGCAGTAGCCGTAGCAGTAGCCGTAGCAGTTCGTAGTAGGAGTAGTAGTGGTGGTGGTGGTGATGGTAGTAGTAACTTAGTAGTAGTAGTTGTTGTTGTTGCTGCTGTGGTTGCAGACTTGTTGATGCAGACTTCCGAGGCCCGAGCCGAAGGAAAAGCGCAAGGACAACGGCAAGTCGCCCGAGAGATTGAGACAAATCCTTCCTTGGCTTGTTCAGGGATTTACTCTAAGTTACCATAACAGAGATCTGTATCCTTCTTTGGCCGTCGTTGTCAAACCGGGTTCTGCGAGTGTGACGCAAGCAACATGCCCTCCAAAGATACTGGTAGCTTCGGTTCTGTCCTTCCAGGAAGCGTCTACACCAGGCTGGACGCTCCGGGCCTTTCCCTGCAGAATTCAGAGCCTGTTCTTCTTGCTGTCTTTCATGTGGATGATTCTGAATACCCAGAGCGGCGTGATTTAGCTGTGGCCGAGGGCACAGTCGGCTGGGTTTCAATGCAGGTGTGGCACCTCCGCCTGGCCAGCACAGGTGCCACAGCATGGCATTGCATCGTGCAAAGACAACGTGCATAATCCAAGAAGTGTACCAGACACTGAGCGGGATGGCTTCGATGCGGAAGCGGGAAGAACGACGTGCAGTCGTCTCCATAACCGTGCTTTGTGAGCAGGCCTTCGCCTGGCCCGAAGTCGAAGCCGCAACCGCCTTATGCTCGTATGTACTAGGACTAGGAGCAGAGTCGAGATTCACTTGGGCTCATCTCTTGAGTTTACGCGCGGCTCGCGATGTCAACCGAGGTTGGGCACCGGCTTTGCTGTGCGCTGGCCTCAATACTCGTCTCGGCATCGAAGATCGCGGTCTGATTCGCCAGTGCTGATGTGAAACCGTGCCAAATGAGTATCACCTGAGTTGTTGTGCAAGGCTTAACGAATCCAGCTCAGAGCCCGACGAAGAGGACGATTTCAGCTCGTCAGCACGAGAGAGTTGCCAGGAGAGAGAACCTTCGAATTGTCCGAAGGTGCCAATGAAATGGCTCTTTGCTGGTTGCGATTTGTGGGGACATCATGGATTCAGAGACCAGGAGTCTAGATTGTTCCAGAAGAGCACGGTGTGTTCCGGTCTATTGCGCGCTTTGGCTCAACAAGGGTTGTGACACGTCCCTCCCAGCCGTGCACGTGGTAGGTGTCTGCCTTGGACACTGCAGCCACTGCAGCAGCTTCTTTCGGTTTCCAGTGCGAGCTGACACACATGCACTATTCGGATTTTTTTCCTTTTTGCTGGCCTTTCTGGTAGACTCGGTAGAATTCTGAGCTATGCCGATGCACAGTGACACATGGCTCAAGTAGCTGCTGATAGAGCCTGTCCGCACATCAACTTGTTGCAGACATGCCGAAGAAGCCGCTTAGATGCAGCTAATGTGAGCATGTGTCTAAGTCTTGTTATCCCGATCCGGATTGGCAGTCGGAGTGGAGTGGTTGCCGAAAGGAGAGTACTCTTTACTCCGTAGATGCCAGCTGCTACCCATGTCAGTCACCTTCCCCATAACTACCACTGAAAACTTCAACTTCAGGCCTACGAGCGAAGAGAAGTACCAGAACTTCAGCGACAGCAGCATGCGGGACCGTGGTGCTTTTCCCAGAATCCCGGCTCTGCCAAACATGCTTTCTGTCTTTCTGTGTAAGTAGCCTTCCTTTGGTGTGCCAGGACCGCGTGGCTGCGGTGCGCTCGCACGAATACCAGCCACCACCTCTGAGCCCAGAGGAGGATCCGTCGCAGCATCCGTCCGGATTTACATCGAGCGGGTGGGACAAGTATTACTTCTTCAGCGATCCAGCCAACTGTTCCGGACCTGGCAAGGGCTCCCTGGTTCGCATTTGGCAGAGCTTTTTTTGTCCCGCGAGCACGATGAATGCGTTCTTCTTTTGCAGCAGGTGGCCTGCATCCAACAGCACGGCTGGGGCGCAATCGTCCAGCGATGAATGGGCCACAGACCTTCACGATCGAGGCTTTCAGCCCAGAAGAGCTGGCTTTTGCACGGAAGAAGATTGAAAAGAAGGGTGCGCGCACCTCCTACACGGAGGCTTTCAGCCAGTTTCCCAGAAATTCCACGGCGATACTGGGGCCCATCGAGAGGGCCACAGGGCCACACATCATGAAGCATGCCGCCGCTACTGGACAGTCTGTGTCAGACACACTCAGTCAAGCCGGCTTGGGCACGCTAAACCGCTCCTTGACAGCGCCCGAGCTCATGGCGGGGCCCCTCACGGCACACCGCATGGGCCCTCACTGGCCCCCTCCCGGCCCGGAGAGACCAGATCCATTGAAGACTCGGCAGCAGCTCATGGCCATGGGCCCTCATCGTACCTTCGTGGAGCTTCACGCCAAGGATCGGAAGGCACCAGGGGAGTATCTCTACACGGTCACCCGTACATGAAGTGACGCACCACTTTTTCATGAGAGGCCGGGTTGATAGCAGTCGTCATGCAGAACCGCAGAACTGTGGCTCTGCAAGTGTAGCCGGCAATGGAATTGCTCGAGCTCATTGGTCTTTGTTTCACGCCGCAGAGCGAAAATGGGAGAACGGAAGTGCAAGAGGATGTCACCCGCACAGCATCGAGTGATCTCCAGCTTTCGCAGCGGCTTCGCCACACAGCTGCCATGGCTTATCCATCGCGCTGTCTTTGTCGTTCCTGCGCATCACCCGCGCCCCATGAAACTGAGACGAGAATGCGGAACAGCCCGAAAATAGAGTCTGGGAATTCGGTGCCGTCCATGTCCATATCACCCCTGACACTGCTGCTTCTTCGGCTTGCCGTCCTTCGCTCTGAGGCGCCCACCTTGTGTCAGAAAGATGTCCTTCAGCTCACAGGCAGGGTAGCAGTGTGTTTGTTTGAGACGGCCATGCGGGACACAGTGCTGAAAGCATCATTGATGTAAGCTGGGATCTGTTTTCTTAAATGTTAGTCTTCTGGTTATATGCAACGGGATAATGCGCCATGCCGCTCTGAATGGCTCTGTTGCAGCAGGCAGATTCGGCTCTGCTCGCTATCTTGATACTGTTTTTGCAGGTGGGCTCAAGGCGTTCCCCAATTCACCCAAGTCTAAAGCCGGTATGACTCGAAACAATGAACTGGGACGATCGGAGAAGGTGGCAAAAAGGTTGAATATCTTTCAGAGGAAGTGCCCCAGCCTGCCATTGTGAAGTCGAATTGATAGGCTAACAACCGACATTCTGCCGTTCTGATTCGTAGACCTGAGTTCACATTCAGATCGGGCGGCCATTGTACCAGCAACAAGATCTAAGCTGCCCCGAATGCTGTACGGCTGGCTTGCCTTGGGCCATGCTGTGATGTCTGCTGCGGAGCTGCAGAACTACTTTCAGTTCACTTCCCCGCTGCTTCCTCAAATTGCTTTGCTTCGCTGTGGATTCGTTGCGACGTCCGCGTGTCTTGCTCAAATCAGGTCAACAAGCGGGAACCACCTTTCCTACAAAAGCACCGTGGCTTCAATGCTACAGTGGTTCGTGCTGACAGAGCCCCAAGGTTGTCAAGTGTCTGCGCCAGGCTATGTACAAAACCTCTGTGTCGACATTGTGAAGTCTGATGACGACTGCTCAATGTCCCCGCCTCGTTGCCTTTGCCATGATGTAGCCTCCAGCTTCAGTGGCTCGGCTGACAAGGTCACAGGACTGCTCCCCGCTGACACATTACGAGTGCTCGGAGCTCTATGTTTCAGACGTGGCTGTCAATGCAGCTGCTCTGCAGTTAGCATCCGCCATCGCAGGTGCAAGGCCATTGCATGGAGAGAGCTCGATATGCAGGCGTCCCTCAATTCCTCGTTCCATGTGCGGGTGCAAGTCAGGTTCTGGAGGTAGAGATGGAGTTTGAAGGTCATGTGACCTGGTGGTCCTTCGTGGAACCTCAGCCAAAAATCAGCTGGCTGTTGAAAAAGCGTGTCAGCGCTTCTGAGGATGCATTGGTGGAGGCAAACTCTGTATTGGCAAGTGGGTCCCAGATAGGGGATAGGGGAGATCTCTGTATGGCGTATGGAAGCCGACAACAACTCTCTAACTCTAGGCAGGTCTGTTGCTGCCTAGTCTTAGGAATTCCACCAAAGTACCAAAGACCTCAGCGGCCCAGGAATGCGGGGAAGGCCCTCCAGGAAGTTGCCCTTGGTGCACAAATTACCGCACGTGTATCGGACCAATGGTGCAGACCGATACGAAGCAGTTGACAGCAGGTGATTGCATCCGCTGGGAGTACAACACTCAGAGAAGCCGGGATGCCTTTGAGATCCTCGTTGCCATCTTCGATGCAGGGGACGAGATGGTTGCACATGAGCTGAAGCGTGGTAATGTGCAGTTGGATTGGACTTATGGCCAGGTTCAGATTGCCACGCCTGGCACATACTTCTTGCGTTTCTTTCTTGGTTCATACGATGCTACAGGTGGTGGCCTTGTCGGAGCCAGGATGGAAGTGCGCAACGTTCGCTTCTCGGACACTTGCTTGGATGATAACTCTCTGCGGCTTGGACCACTGGCTTCAAGCACCACGCGCAGCACGGTCAGTTACACGTCGACCTCCCAAACTAGAAGCAGCGTCACCAACACCAGCACCACGTTCACCACAACATCCAGCACGAACACAAGCACTACCAGCACGACAGCATCGACCACCACGACTTGGACTCAGACGGCCTCTTGAACGAATTTGTTAGACCCCCTGATTCGGCCTCCAGCACTTCAGGGTGGTGGGGGTGCCACAGGCTACGGGCGATTGCTAAGGGCCAGTCTAGCTCGCGACTGTATCCCTGTCCGATCTTGGAATGCGCACAGGCGTCTACCAGAACTTCCAGCTCAGGCTCCACGACCTCAACGCTCTCACACTTTACAAGCGTGACGTCTTCTTTCACATCTCTAACGGCGACAACCACGAGCTCATCGACGGACTCTGAAGCAGGTAATGAATCAAGCGCAATCGACAGCCAAGTCGCGGCCTGCAACTGCTCCTGCCCAACGGAGGAAGGCGAAGGCAGCGAGACCGACGAAGTCTTTGCAGTTCTCCTCACATTCGGAGCCATTCTCGGCACCCTTGTCGGCATCATCTTCCTTTGCCGGCTTGCTGGCGTCCGCGGCAAGCCCAAGATTCAGCCGTCGCAAGAAGCCGACCGTGCTCGGTCCGAGATGTATGCCCTGGACAGCCGCACGGCAGCAAATGGCACGCGAGGCGCCTTTGACAGCCTTGTAGGAATCTTGAGCCTGTCAGCTATTCCTGCGGCCCTTCGGAGAGACGACACAAAAAGGGACGCGTTTTCAATACCGAGGGCGACCCTCGGAGACGAAGCCAAGCCTCCCTGACAACGTGCGTGAGCTCTGTGCCGTGCTCCAGGAATACCGCATCCAAACCCCTGAAGAGCTGGGGGCCCCAGAGACCAAAGCCAAGGCTAGTCTTTTGAACACGTTAGTGGTTTGTAACTGCAGAAGACTTGAACCTTGCGTGTCACAGGCACAACTGAAACAGAGAAGCTAGCAAGTTCTCATCGACGGACCGAGGCTGCGCCACAGACTCCAGAGGTCGAGCGCAGCAGAGTCGACCCCACAAGGTGGCGAGGCCTGTTCGCAAAGGCGGCTCGGCCAAAAGTTGAAAGTTTTGAAGATGTTTTACGGCCAAAGGGCCCTAGAGCCGCTTGATTGCATCTTCAGTCAGCGTGGATCCAGAAGTCCTCACATCGAAGGATCGCAGTGCAGCGAGCGCAACATGCATCCCACCTGGAAGCGCTAGAGAGAGCGCATCATGTTCTGCTGCATCAGCTGATGAACGAGCGCAGGCTGGTGGCTAGGACAAAGCGCCAGCCCTGTTGCTAGGTAAAGCCCAAGTTGACATGCTTCTTGCTCTGCAGGCTTCGCGAAGAGCTGCAAGGTGGAAGAGGATAGCTTGCGACAGGAAATATGCGGAC